TCCGGCTGTCGCCCATTTGCTGTGTGAAGTTTTTTAGGCTGAAGGGAGGCCAAAAAAATACAGGGTCGGGGGGGTTGGCTCGAATCCTTCCTAGGGACCAGGCCAAACCACTCAAGGTCCACTTGCAAACCACGAAACTGAACCCCACCCCCCCCCCCCCCCAAGGCCTTCCAGGGACGCTCAAGAACGTCCGGCTGGGAGGGGGGAAATAAGGGTGGGTAGAGTTCTTCCCCCGACAACGCCAGAGACAGGGGCTTCTGTGGACCTTTGTGCTGAGAGGCGATTGAGTTGGAGTTAGGATTAGATGTGTCATGTGTGTGCAGTCCGAAATCTACCTGCGTCTACTGCGAGCAATTGCCCCGTGAATGATGGGGTGAAATGTCAAGGCTCGGAACCATCACATACCGCTCAGGGCTGGAGCCGCATCCTCATGCGGCATGCGAGGGATGACATGCATGCTGGTGCTGCGTGACATGTACTTGTGCAGCAAGGTGGCAACAGCGCTTTGGGCAGAGTTTGGCCAAGGGCGTAACAAAGAGAGAAGGCAGGTCCCTTCTTTTTTCTGTTTTGCGGCACGCTTACATTCCTTCTTTGAGTGGAAAGGTTTGAAGAATGAATTCATGATCGAGTCCTACCTCGCGCACCAAGGGGAGCAGATATCTTAGCTTGCCTATCTACATTCAGGCTACATGGTGCCGACAGCTTCCTCCAGGAAGTGGGTTAACGCGTATGATCCGAACTCCCTGCTTTGGATCTCCAAGGCTGGGTAGGCACTCCAACTCAAAGGCTTCTTGACACCGGCATGAGGCCATGGATGGTTTCTCTATGGAAAAGCCTGACAAGGAAAGGCTTTTTTTGCTTAGTAGCGTGTGAATTGCTCACTCCGCTTGCGGATTGCAGGATGGCAAGCTCAGTTTGCTGGAGGGTCTGAAGCCAGCAATGATGCCTGCTTTGGTGATCGGCGTGCAGCACGACGCCCCCCTCCTGCATTCTGCACCTTGCATGCTCCACTCATTGATTCCATGGCCTAGGTGCTGTTTCCTGTCTGGCAGCAGAAGGAGATTGCCGACACTTTGAGAAAGGCAGCCGTGGGAAGGGTAGCCAAAAGGCAGCGCCGGTTTTGAAAATTAAAAGCAAATGATTCGGCAGGCAGGCAACGGACGGGTTGTCTACTACGAGCTGGACTCCGTTTATGGGGTCCGCCACTGCAGTGTGCTGCAAGCCATGGCTCTCGCTGTTGCGTTGGCTGCAATCTGTGATTTAAGTATTTTCTTGCACAGCACGACTCCTTCCTGTTGGATGCTGTTGCCATTGGCCCGGCCGTCAAAGGCCCATGCCAGCCTTGCTTTCAAGCACAGAGTGGTTGGTGAGAAATCTCCAGGCCATCTTGAGCAAGAGCCCGACGGAGCTCGCCATATTTGGGAGGCACGATGGGCATGGGCGCTGCACTCGCATACGATGAGTGCTGGCTGCAGCCAGGACCTTGCAGCCAGTGCTATGGGCTTTCTTCAGGCCTTCTCATCTGCGTATTCTGCGTAGTTCGTTTTTTGGGTTGTTGAGTGCGCGTGGTGCGAACTGTTTCAGCACCGGTCTGATAATCGACGTGTCCAGGCAGGGTTTGGGATGTAGCATGGTGTAGCTAATTATCCAGCATACATGCACGTCTCCAGCAGAAAATGAAGCGTAAGAACGTAAATGGTCGCTTGCCTTGTTTTCTTTGCGCCAGGCCAGTGCCCAGCGTGGGAATCAGGCCGACAGCATGAGAGACATCTTCCGAGCGCTCGGGCAGGGCGAGAAGGCGTGTGCTCTCAACGATGTACACAGGTAATTTTATAGCTAACGCGAGACCGCCTTGGCAAAGCCGCACCTGAAGCCCACAACGTGTTCGCCCGCACCGCAGCTGGAGCCCCGCGTACGAAACCTCCTCCCCCACCCCCCCTAACCCTCCACCCCCCGTAACCCTCCATCTCCCTCCCCCCTTCCTACCACCTAGGAGACCCTGCGTTACCACGCTCACCCCCACCCTGCTGGGAAACCAACGAAGCCGGAGCCGTTCGGACCCCCCCACTCAGGGGTAGGGGGTGGGTTAAACTACTCCTAGTCTCTGGCTCCCGGATCTAAAAGACCCAGGCCTCCGGCCTCGGCGGATTACAAGCAAAACTTTAGTAGCCAGTGTAGCGCGGCATGTGTGCAAGAAGTGATGAGATGCCGGCAGGAGGTGGAGCGAGACCGCCTCAAGTCCATGGTGAAGCTTGTTTGGTCTGGACGGGTCAATGAGGCTGAGAGCGAATGACTTCAACGCTTTCAAGACCCTGGAAGCATATATTAAAAAGCATAGGAGGACAATGTGCACTGTTTTTTGGCAGGCCGCCGTCGACAAGGCTTTCGATGCAATGGCGAAAGAGCCCTTGATGCAGCACTGACCTCAGAACATTCATCAGATTATTGGGTAGCAGAGCTTCGCGTCAGGGGACTAAAGTCAGCAGTACCTGTGCAGGATTGAAGAGTTTATGGCGATGCGACAGGTGCGTGGGTGGAGAGTAGACTGCTGATTCCAGAAAGTCCAGGCCAGGAGTAGATGCAAACCTGAGCCCCGCGACAGGTGTTGTCTGAAGCAATGTCTGACACATATCTACCCTAGGAGTTTTGTAGTTTTCCACATTTTTCGTTTGTAGTGTTGTCCATCAAGGGCAGGCAGATTAGGATTTGATTGCGCAGAAAGCATGCGCATGCATGTACAGGCTCTGCTGAACGTCAGTGCACCAGCATGAACAGAAGTTTATGTTGCGCTTGCTGATAATCTGCCAGACAATAAGTATGCATGCTCTGCTGGAAGTCCGAGACTCCAACCAACCTCTTGCTGAGGATTGTTGAAGAAGGTGTCGACGTGCTTACGTATCATGTCGGATCATGCAGGCATGCCATGCAGCCATTGTCCCATAGTTCATAGCCGAACACATGAATGTTGAACCTCATTATCTGTTACCAACTCGTTTTCATAGAAAAAGCCAGCGAGGGCCGAACCTGTTCTTAGACTTGGCATACTAGCGGCCCTCATTTCAGACACAATTCTAAGCAAGTCCTTCTTTTCTGGCGCAATTGCACCATTGGAGAGCTGTCGCGATGCTACCAGGCCAGGCCGTGAAGAGCCAAAGGGAAGAGCTGTGCGGCGAGTAGCGTGCTTGTCTGAGGCACTGGTACTGGCACGTCGAGGCCTCAGCCGCCGCCAGTTCTGTCAAATGCCTTCATGGCAAGAGAACAAACAATTCGTTCGAAACAACTGTCAAGGGATCGGGCTGCGGATGATGGTGAGGCCCTATATCCTAGAGCAATTCACCGACCTAGCATTGTCAAGCCTGCATCAGTGGCACTTGCAAAGGCAGGCCAAGGGCAGGCCAAACGTGCAGCCCTTAGATGCTCAGCTAGCTTGGGCTGCTATGGCCCCAGAAAGCGATTTTGTATTCTAAGGGCAATTGGGCGCCACCGTGTGGTTGAAATATTTGGGTTGTCATTTTTGATGTGCGGGAGGGAGGAAGCGCTGCAGTTCAACCATTTAGGCGTATGAGAAGTCAGTGTCAGGGTACGAAGACTCTGAGACAAGACTGTTGCCTCATTGAATGTTTGCACCGCCTGTGTTGAGTGCTTTTCACCGCGACCTGAGCGCGTTTATGACATTGTGAACGTTGTGGGGCCGTGGGCAAGCCTACAGGGCTAGGTCCAGGTGGTGGGAACAAAGAGAGTTGGTTGGAAAACCCTGTTCTGGTATCAGTCAGTCTTAGCCTCATATGTTTTGAGGGAGAGTCTTGGTGTTGTGCACTTATGCCATCCAATTCCAGGTCATCACTAACACCTTGATGCCTGATGGGTTTGATTCGTCAGTAGCTAGTTTGTGTGAGATTACACGAATTCGTCCAGCTAGTAGGTGCACGTCTCTGTGCTTCTCAAATGCGAGGTGCTGCCATGGAAAAGCTGTGCTGCTGTCACGATTCTTAGCCTGGGGTTTCAAGTGCAGCTGCGTTTTCACTGGTGATTTCTTAGTAGGGTTCAGTTTGCGAAATTGAAAGTTGGCAGCTCTATGTTGTCGACGGCTTGTTGAGCAAGCGGTCAAACTTATTGTACGGAAACCAAAAGTTGAACCGCTGCCTGTGGCAAAGTATATGCATGATGCGACTCCGATCGCTATTGAGCATCGGTTAAAGCTGTACAGTTTGAATCGCCGCGAATGGCTGTCCACAGACATTTCATGCGCATGAACGTTGCTTCTCTATGCTTGTATGGTTTCTTGATAGAAGCTCGAATTGATCCAGAGTGCTACATGCTACTTTTGCCTCCAGCCAGGTTGCAGCTTGAAGCTCGTATAGCGGAGCTCCTGCCAGAGGTTGAAAGAGAACGTCAGGCCAGGATGCAAGAAAAACACGCACACGTTACAATCCGCAACGACTTTGTGTGGGGCTGCCATGCCTTGGAGGCCCGGATGCACAAAAACTCTCTCTTGGAGAAGCGCTTGCAGGACTTTAAATCGTTCTTAGGTCGGATTCGTAAAGTAGCATTGGGCATGCCAGCGAAATGCTTGTTTTGCAGAATTGCAGGATGTTGAATCCCAGCTGCTGAGCCTTCGGTGAGATGGGTGAGGCCTGCCCGCAGCCTCCCACCACGGGAAATGCGTCGGCTTCTCACGCCTTGCATGGTTCGATGATGGAAGATGGTGCAGAAGTCAGAGAATCCGACTGCCAATTGCTTATCCAAACACTCTTCAGGGTGAAGACTCTCGGAGTTGTGAGGCATTGCAAGCTTACGGATTTGTGCTTGAACCACCATGGTGCTGCACTTGCCGAGGCTCATTTAGCAATGCGGGAAGTATCGCAGGGAAACGGTCAAACATGGCGGGGCAATTGACTTTTCTCAGCAACCCGCACGCAAGTGCACCAAGGAATTCTCAAGGAACCTAATTGAACCATCCTTTCGTCGCTGTCAAAACCAAGCTAAAGGCAATCGTGCCTGCGGTAAAGCCACAGCACAAGCTGGAGATCTCCCAATGGCCTGATGCCGTTCGCGCCAATCTCTCCTGGTGGTCGCAGAGTGGAGCCAGTCTCTCCAGGAGGTCGGAAAGTGGATCCGCAGCCATACTACCAATGGCTGTTTGAGCGACGGCGAAGTGGCGAGCCGGGCCCATGGGCTGCAACGGCTACACACTTTCCACCACAGCCATGGCCATCTACGCCTCCACCAATGGGCCGTACCGCTTCTGTGGGCTTCCTAGCCAGCTCAGAGAATGATCTCCCGCCACTGTTGCGTGCGCGTTGCGTTGCTGCGCAGAGTTCGCTGCATTGCTGGGCTGTTTGGACTCTTCAAGCTATTCAGGCGCCTGCTGATTTGCATATGGGCCAGCCAAGTCCCACGGGTGTAGGGTCCGCAGCTCAGAGCAGCTCAGCTGCGGCCCAGGGTGCCATCTTCAAGATGGCATGAGTTAATGAGGTCGGTCCTTCTCTCACCACTTTCTGACGCAGCCTCTTTCTTGGCCAGAAGCTCGGAATGGTGCTTGCTGGAAGTTCTTGCGAGCCTGGTCGCGCACCAGGCAAAAGCTGCCGACCTGAGCTTGAAGCGGAAGGATGTGGCACATGCTCTTTATTGCTGCAATCAGGCAGGGCGGCAGGGCTTCATTCCTGCAAACAAACTTAGCTGTGGCATTTTAACATTTTGAGGCTGTGTCGCTTGGCCCCGACTGTGGTCTCCTGGCTTGCATTGCTGAGCCTGCGATGCTTTGATTCGTGCCAAGTGCATGCGGTCACACCAACTGCAGCTGTCAAATGCAGCTGTGCTGCAATGCTGGAGGTCCTGCATGGAGACACCGAGCATTTGCCAAGATTCAAGCAGGCCAGGCTGAAGCAGCAGTCGAGGACAGATGGCTCAGCAGTAGGATGATCTGCATCTTGGTGTTTGAGCGGCATAGAGTGTCTCTTTCACGATTCCGCAGAAAGCTTTCCTCAACATGCGGTTTGTCCGGCTGGCACGAGTTTACTATCCCGTGCAGGTCTAAACCGAACCATGCATTTCCCCAAGCACACGGGCACCATTTGGCACCAATGGAACAACTATTTATGTGTGCACCTCCTCCAAAAGCGTTTCAGTTGACTGGGTGACTGAATAGTTTGAGACATCTTTGCTGGCCAGTTTGGGGTAGCACATGATGCCCTGGAATTAGGTTTGGTGTGGTTTGCGGCTTAGCTTCGCAGAAGGATGCTTCAGCAGCTGTGGAAGCTGAGCCTTTCAACGTGCCGTGGCCTCAACGACACGTCAACGTGCCAGATCAACGTGCCACATGTGCCTTCGAGACTGCTCGGACAGCACAGCACCAGACACGAGATTCTGTCCGCTGGGTATGGGTTCAGCTTGGCCATGCTATCAAATAGTTTAGCATTACTCTCTCAAACCTTCCTGGCAAATTCTCAGCGCATGTCGGCTTCTGCTGTTCAAAGGCACGGCTGGGAAGCCCGAACGGCTGCAAAGTTCGGCTCCCCTGGCATGATGGGGCTCGCAATCCAAACTATGATTAGATGTTTATTGGCTGCATCATGCTGCCTTCATCTGCCTCCTGTCGGTGTTCTATCCGAATTGCCAGGAAGTGGTGATTATGAAGGAGCCGTACAGGACGCAGCTCATGCAATCTCGTTGGACGGTTGGCGTCCAAGTCTCTGGAGAAGGCCTCCGGAGCGAACTCGCTCGTGCTGCTCATTTGCCACGGAACGCATGTCTCTGTACATCAGGGCCTGATAGCAACATGCCAGCAATGTGCAGGAAAGCCTTGGCGCGAGTTATGCTCCAGGAGCCACTGTTTCCCTGATTGTAACAGTCGCAGAGCTCCAGCTTTGAATGCTTCTTTTCTGTTCTTGCCCGACTTCTGAATCTTGTTGCCGCTTCATACACAAGATGCTCAGGAGTATGGAGGCGCTAAGGACGACCTTGACAAGGCCAGTAGGGCTTGCTGCAGGACATGTGTAACACTGTTTGGGGAAGCTCCTTAGTTGTCTCTCAATTTTCCAATTCAGACTTCCTGGGTTTGAGATCTGCAGATCTGCAGAAATTTGTGATCGACATCTCCTTTACAACATGGCTGACAAGACATGTTATGGCAGATTATACAGTGAGCCGCCTTTCGCAGCAAGAAGATTCTTTAGAACACCTGGTTGTGCAGCCACTGCAAGTTTTGTCCATCCATCTAGCCCATTACTTACTAGCTGCGGCTGGGAACCAGACGTTGCCTCAACTGCCAGTAAGAGTTGTGTTGGGGCGCGTGAAAGGCTTGATTCACGTGCCTGAGGCTGTCCATGCAAGTCTGGTTCACTTAACTGCGGTCACTGCGGTTCATGGATCAACAGCGGAGCAATAGTTGAAGGCCAGTTGAGGCCTGTCCAGGCCAGGCTTTGCAAGGCTCCTGGGAAGAGGGCCTTAGTGGGGCGTGGTTGCGGAAAGAGTTGTGCAAAGTTATGAACCTGGCCATCAGCGTGGTCTGGATTGGGGTCTGGCATGATAGTGGTGGATTTCCTTTTGGCTTGGCGAAGTGTTGTTGCCCCCATTTGAATCTATGTCAAGTTGGTGCACATCTCTATCCGTTTGTATCTCATTATCCCCCCTTCTGTAAAATGACGTGGGGGGTCAAGACATTCAGTTGCCTTACGACCCCCCGAAATGTCTTACAACCCCCTATTGAAAACCATCTCGGCTTTGATGCGCAGGCCCTTGAGGGCAACTAATTGTGCGTGATCAGGGATTGACTTTCATCATCATACTGTTGATGGACAGCATCCTGCATGACCCTATTTACCCTAAACTATCAGAAATATTGGATTTATGGCATTTTCGTATATGTAGGGTCATGCAGGTAATCCCGTCTAAAGGAGTATAGGCTATCACGTAATCCGGAAGCCTCAGTGATCACCGGTAAATGTTTTGACCCACCCCAGACCCCTGTCACAGGCCCCCCAAGACAATCCCTCGGCTCTTTTTCGGAAACACATGTCAGCCATAGTCTAAACTCCCAGTATCCCCCTTTATTGATTGTTATACTAGTCCCCTATATAACCCCTTATATAACCCCTTCTTAAGGAGCTTAGGCTATGGCTCATGTAATCCCGAAGCTTCAGTGATCACCGGTGAATGCCTAGACCCACCCCAGACCTCTGTCACAGGCCGCTCAAGAATTCATCGGCTCGTTCACATGTAAGCCATGGTCTAAACTTCTCGTATCTCCCTTTAATAGCCGATATACTGTTCCCCTACTTAACCTCCCTTATATAACCCCCCCATATAACCCCTTCATACGGGGTGTAGGTCATGGCTCATGTAACCTCAAAGCTTCCGTGATCACCGGTGATTCTTGTCACGGCAGTGCTGCGAACTTCTCCAAAAGTCCACCGAAGGGCGCGAAAACTGCCAGCGCTGCCGAGAAGGGATCATAACAGCTGTACTGAGTAAGCTATGTAAGCTATCGTAAGCCGAAGTGACAAAACATGGTGGTCACGAAAGAAAGTCTCGAAATCAAAGGCTGGATGTGAAAAAGCGAGCGAGCTGAATGTAGGTCACCAGCCCCCTCAAGGCATTCCCGTTTCCAATGAAGCCAGCCGAAAATGTCTTGCCATGGGGGGGGTGGGTAATGGGTTTAGGAGTTGTGAGGAGCGATATCCCAAAAATGGGATTCCATAACTGGAAACCATTACTCGAGGCCTTGCAGCTAGATCCGAAGCACGCCGCCAGCTGGAGGAATCGTGGAGCCGTGAGGCCAGGAAGTTCTGCGCAGCTGACAAGCACAGCAAGCGACACGTGCAAGCCTGCCCGCTGCGTCAGAGAAGATCGTTAAGCTTGAACGTGAAGGTGTTCACATTCAGAGGATCCGGATGCATTTCAGTGTTGTCGGAAATTGAAAAGTCGAGGTTGGCCATGCGGGACGAGCAAGGCCTTGGTTGCATTCTTTCCGGTTTGGGGGAAGGCGCAGGGTGCCGCATTGATTAGATTCTGGGTCTATCGTATGTGGAGCTGCTGAGCCTGTCAGGATTCCAAGCAGCGTTGTTGAAATAAGTCCGGAAACAAGTCGGATTGTGGACGCTCGCAGGTGCTGAGACAGATGCGTCGCGTGCCCGCTCCTCATGATGTCTGTGTGATGAGAGATTCGAGATCACGTGGGTTCCCGTCTCTGTGGCAAGAATGTAGCAAGAAGTGAGCACTTCACTGAGGCAGTCAAGCTGCACCCGACAATAGACAGCTACCTTCAACGCTCCCGTCTCAGAGTCTGGCCGCCAAGAGGCATAGCCTGAGAAAAGCCAGCAGATGCCAGGCGCAAAGATCAGGATACCCGGCTGCAAGTCGTTCCTTGTGCATTTCCCAAGCTGGCCCTTGCGCATGGCAAGGTTGGAACGTAGAAACTATGCCGACGCGATAAAGGATTGTTCTGCAGCTCTGAGGAGAGACCGGCACCAGGTGCCTCCTGTCTTCTTGCAAGTGACCAGTTCTTGATGATTCATACCAGACTTCTAAGAGCACTGCAGGTAAGATTTATTTGAGGGGCTGCGCCTAGGGGCAGGCAAACGCAGGCAATGTGAAAAGAGAGTTGTACAGCGGTCGCCGGAGCGCGCCAAGCCCATCACGGAGAAACGGGCCCGCAATTATTCAGATGATGCTGGCGCAGGTGGCCAGCATCGTCTGCATCATTGGTATTCCGTTCGGAGGAACTATATATTGTCGTATTTTTTTTAAATAGCCTTGGCGTGGAGCGTGTTTGAATTTTAGCCTTTTCTCTGATTTTTCAATCAGATTTTCATAATTTTCATTTTTTTTTCGCCATTTTCATGATTTTCATAATTTTCTATTATTTTCTATCGCTTTTTTTCATCATTTGTCATCAGTTCCCTCTTGTAACATGTGTAAAAACCTTGCTGACACCTGCAAAATCATGAAATGTCAGGGCCCATGATATTTAGCAACACTTGTCCCGGCCAAACAGCATACAAGGCGCATAATGGAGAAACGGACCCCCAATGATGCTGATGATGCTCGTCATTTTCTGGCCATTTTGGGAGGCTATGGCCTGTGGAGTGCAGCCTCTGTAGCCTACAGCAGGAGACAGCAAAAACAGCAGTAAGACGGGCAGCAACTAACAAGGTAATGGGCGCAGTAATTAACAGAACAAGAAGTACATCATATTAGAAGTAGGAATGGTCGAAATAGTAGTGGTGAATGACAGCAGTATAGTAGGGCCTGGAAAAGCGAAACGGATCTCTGGAATGCTGATGATGCTGCATCATCAGCATCATTGGCGAGCCTGTTTCCCATTTTTTGGCCCCTTGGCCTGTCCTTCAGTCCAAACTTTTCTTGTGGTAGGCCCCTCGGGCATGCCTTTAGGGGGTCTGGTGGTTGAGCCCAAAACTCCTTCAGAAATCCCTCCGCGTGATATGAGTGTAACTGAAAATGCCTTTAGGGTGGCAAAGCGGTCTGAATTGTGCTGATGGTGCTCGCGTACGGGGCGCGCGTGCATGTCTCGTTTGCGAGCATCATCAGCACAACTAGGAGTCCATTTCGCTACTTGACTGACATCTTGGTCTTTTGCGCCTAGTGTTGAGCTGTTCCAGTCGCTCAACATCATCAGTCCCGCAAGGGCCGATCTTTGAGTGATCGACATTCCGCAAATTCATCGACGACACCATATAAAGCCCACGAGCAGGTATGAAAAGCCTGCAACACAATCTTGTAATCTTTGTGAAGTCGGCACGCACGCTAGACCTGAAAACTCACACGCAAATTCCACAAACCTGCATGAGGCCTGCGGAACCCTGCATAAAACTATCATAAATCCTGGAACCAATCACCCCACTGATCAATAGTTCTTTATAATATTTCCATGGAAAACCTTGTAAACCATCATAGAACTTGCGAAAACTCATGATGGCCTCTGTGGTTTCAGCATGCAACCCTCATGGGCGGGAGTGAGTGGTGGTTAATTGGGGTTGGGTTGGAGAGCAAAAAAAGGCTTCACTTTGCGCTCGACCACACAGGCCGGGGTCGGCGGATTACTCATGATGTTGTTCTTGTTGTTATCCTTGTTCCTTGATCTTCTGGTGAGACGCCCCCAGTGGCAACTGGACTCCCAACTTGAGATCAACGAACTAGTGCGAGGCTATTCCGCAATAGATTCTTTCACCTACCCGAATGTGGTGCGTGTGGCAAGCAGCAAATTGATGTGTCAGCAAATGCAAGCTGCCTCAACGCAACGAAATCGGCGAAGCTTTGCCAGGCCGATGCACTGTACTTGCGGGCACTTGCCCGAGGACATACTGATCTGGATGGAGCAGTTGCTGATCTGAGCAAGGCCGCAAAGAATGCAACCGCAAGAGTAGCATGTCTTTTTGCTCCCAATTGGCAGGCCATCTCATGTGATCCTCAAGATGCGGAGGCCAGAAAGCATGGCCCAAACAGCGATTCTGCAAGCAGCACTCCACAGGCTTGGAGGCTCCGTGCAGAGCTCCAGCTACAAAGAGGTGCGCACTCTATATTGGGTTTCCCCCTATTCAGGGAAATAGCACATCAGCGTCACTTCCGCTGTGTCTTGTTCTTGAGCAGACAGGCAAGTACGAAGAAGTGATTGTGGACAGCACCGAGGCTCGATACAGGGTCACAGCGTCTTGTATAGCCACATGTAGCTGAGGGTAGGGGAGAAATTTCAATCTCATCCGAATACTGTTCATGCTCACATCAAGAGTTCTGATTGCATGGAGCATAATTAAGGGATTGCCGGGCAAAGGCCATCCGCCTTGACGGAGCATCACCCAACACTCTGCCGGATGCTCGTTGTAAGGGCCACTATTGTAGCAGGGGTGCTGGTTGAGTTTTCAGGTGCGTTCGTGGGCAAGCTCACTTTCGAAAAGGAGCCTTCCACAGCAGCTTGACAGACATAGTGACATGATCATGAGCGTTGCAATTGTAACCATGGAAGTCGTTTTGCCATGCAGTACTCAATTCGAGGTGCTGCCAGTGATTTCGAGGAAGCCTTGCAAGCTGACCCTGCTAGCATGGGGCCAAGAAAAATACGGCATCAGATTTAAGGTTGACTGCAAAGTTGTGCCAAAAGCGAGGTGAAACAGCTGCCAGAATGCTCGAGAGGGCCAAACAGTGCCACTCTTAGTCAGTCGACAGGCCTAGCCGCTTGCACTGCAAGCTTTGCAGGTCACTGAAGCAGCTGGAAGCGTGGAAATTTCCAGCCTTTGCTGGCAGCATACATTCCTTCGTTGATTCGGTGCACAGCGCGCAGCTGCTCCTGAAAGGCTCCTAGCTGACATCTAGATTAGCCAACACCGTTGCAGCGTAGACCGAGCAGACGTGTTGCTCACAGAAGCAGCTCCAAGGAGTCATAGAGATTTACAATCTGTTGGCCTCTGCCTGGCCTTGCAGCCAAGCTGCCTGGGCAGATGTGCCGTTTGGTTTTCCAGACCATGACTGGAGGCGCCGGTCAAGTGGCTGGACTTTGCTTTTAATGAGCTCCTGCTGCATCCCAAATGGGATTGGCTTCCACGGATCATCCTCGTCCATCAGCCTTGTGCAAACACGTGGTAAGTGGGTGGTAAGTGGCAAGCCTAATGTTGGACAGCTCTTGTGCTGCAGTATGAGCCGATCGCCAACGTCTGCCACTGTGATTTGTTCAAGCCCAAGGCTAGGAGAGCTGAGTCTTTCCCAACATGCTTTCTGTGGGCACATCATCCCCTGCTTTCGTTGCTCCGCGCTTGAGACTTGATGGGTCTCCAGGCGCAAGGGCTAGGGCGTAGGGCGTAGGGCTTGGGCTGTTGGGGAGTCTGAGGCTCTGGCTCTGGCTCTTTGCCTTCAGGTGCGGTGCGCACTGCCCCACCAGCTTCACAGGCCCTCAACTTAAGAGCGGCTCCCCTGGCATTCGCAGCGAAGGATGTTGCTGCAGGCAAGGCTGCATCAGCTAACAAAGTTGAAGCATTATGCCACATGTGGATCGTGTCGTTATGGATGAGCCTCGGGCAGGGAGTGGCTTGCTTCTTGCGGCCTCATTTGCAGCCCGAAGTGGGCGGCGAGTGGCAAGGCCACGTCCAGGACGGAACTTTCAGCACGGACAAGCTTGTGCTGGCGTCTAGGCGAGCGGTCGACATGCCGGTCAAAGAGCCGCCTGTGACCACAACAGTGGCGATTCCCGGCGCCAAGGTTGAGGAGGTCAGCAGCATTGAGCTGAACATGCAGCTATGGCAGTCTGTTTGTTTTGAAGCAGGAAACAAAGCAGAAAAGGGCGGATGAGTACCGCCTCGTTTTATACAACGATCCCCTGAACAAGCGTGAGTTCGTCGCTAGGCAGGAGCTTCAAGCACTTTGCCGCCCCAGCAGAAAGATCCAAGGTGCCGTGGGCTGTTGGGGTCGAATTGAGAGGTGCTTGATGACCATCTGCCTGCTCAAAGAGGGAGACGCCTACCAGGTCCACTGCACAAAGGCAAAGCCAGGGTCAGCAGGATGCTGTGCCTTGAAAGCCCAGGTCATGATGAAGGCTCACAAAGAAGGAGTGGCCGTGGTTGGCACCTACTCCTTTGAAACAGCCGAGGCAGCAACTTCAGAAGGTTGAGCCAGAACAACAGCATTTGTCTTTCTGCATGTGATTGTGTGTTTGTTCGTTGTCATGTCACATTGGCAGGCATACTGCGACGGGCTAAAGTCTCAAGGTCTCAGCGTAGACATTTTCCCTGTAGACAAGGACGAGTAGGCAAGGTCCCATGCAGTGCGATGGTGATGTACAAAGTGATCTTTTCCTGAATTCAGCTTGTCGCTGAACCATCGCGAGAACTTCAGAAGCTGGGCTGCTGGCAGGATTGTTTAGTTGGACTGTCTGTCTAAAAGGCTGACGCAATGCCATCCCGAAGGCTTATACAGACCTTGGCAACCTGGAAAAGCGTTTGACAAAAGAAGCAAAGGGCTGACTGACGGTTCTGCAAGTAAGTGTGGTGGATGGTATGCAAGTAACAGTTGACAGAAGAATGCTGACAGTTCTGCAGCTTTGTGCAGTCGCAGTGGGATCTTTTGTTTCAAGCCTAGTACTATCAAATCCGCGTCGGAGTGGCAGTGGTCCACGTATTATTATTTAAGGGCTGACGCCGTGC